CTGTAGAACCGGATCGCAGAATCAAAGACATTCTTGTGATAACAGACCACTTCACAAAGTATGCCATTGCTGTGCCTACCTCAAACCAAAAAGCCAAGACCGTTGCTAAATGTTTGTGGGACAATTTTCTTGTGCATTACGGCATTCCAGAAAAGTTGCACAGTGATCAGGGCTCAGATTTTGAATCAAGAACCATTCGAGAGCTCTGCAAAATGGCCAACATTCACAAAATAAGAACCACTCCATACCATCCAAGAGGAAATCCTGTTGAACGTTTTAATCGAACACTGCTGGACATGCTAGGAACACTAACTGAAAAGGAAAAAACTCATTGGAGAGACTTTGTAAAACCTCTAGTGCATGCCTACAACTGCACAAAAAACGATGTTACAGGATACTCACCATATGAGCTGATGTTCGGACGCCAACCTCGCCTACCAGTGGACTTAGCCTTTGGACTGCCATTAAGTAAGGATGGATTTTCCTCCCACACACAATATGTGCAGAAGTTAAAGTCCCACTTGGAGGAAAGTTATAAACTGGCCAGTAGGAACTCGGCTAAGGTGATGCAACGTAACAAGACCCGATTTGACCGAAAAGTTACTGCATCAGAACTGGACATTGGAGACAGAGTTTTGGTGAGGAACGTGCGACTAAGAGGGAAACACAAACTCGCAGATAAGTGGGAGTCGTCTGTGTATATTGTTGTGAAGAAAGCCGGCAATCTTCCTGTGTACACAGTCAGACCGGAAGGCCAGAACAAGCCACTAAGAACCCTGCATCGAGACCTTTTATTGCCATGTGGGTACTTACCTGTTCCTGAAGAAGAAACATCTACCAGAGATAAAAAGAAATCTCCTGTGTCTTCTCCAGTATCTGCTGATGATGAAGAGGATCCATCAGAGGATGAACTAATTGATCCACCTCTGTACATTCCATCATCTGTCGAACCTGTCAAATTTACCAGTGATATTGACCTACCTCCTGTCGAGCAGTCTGTTCCAAGCACTGAACAGTTTGTTCCCTCCACACAATCTCCAGTACCTGTAACTGAAGAGGACAGTGATGCTGAGGAAGATGAACTCAAACCTGTGGAAGGGGAACCCACAACTGTTAAAGAGGAACAACTATCAATATACAGTGAGGAACCTGAAATTGACTCTGAACAAATCAATCCTGCAGAGGTCTCCAGAGTTGAAAGAAGTCTCTCTCCAGATCCTGATACTCCAGATAATGCAGGACTTGACGTACAAGAGCCTGATGTACCAGACATTTCCAGTCATGCTGAAGAACCTCACTCACCAGTGGATTCAATTTCTCTGGATATTGAGGACCAACCTCTGAAACGCTCCAGCCGCACAAGAAATCCACCTGATCGGTTGCAGTACACTAAACCAGGCAAACCATTACTAAAAAGCATCCAGACTTTGCTCCATGGTTTAAGTTCTGCTTTCTCCTTTGCCCTCCAAGAAGACGAAGAAGAACCATTGATTGCTCCGTACTCCAGCCAGCCACCTATTTGCTGCCAGCCT